AAAGATAGCTACGCTTTGATGATGTCCCGGAAGAATTTCTAAATCTGTCGATGGCCAACTGCAATTTGGGATGAGATTTCAACTGCTCAAACAAGAGGCTCCTAAGTGACGAATCTGAAGGCCGATCACTGACCTCCAAGGCTTGCCAAATGAAGTCAAACTTGTTACGGAAATCTTCGAGTGCTTTGATGTCTGAACCCTGCATTTTCAAATTGAGAAGATGACTTTGAATAAGGGCTACGCCACGATCCCTTTCCATCTTATACTTCTCAAAAATGATCCAAAGCAATTGCCTCCCTTTAGGTTGCTTATGTTTCCTTTGGTATGGCTCCTGCATGGTCTGGAAGTGCATAGGGAAGCGAGTGTTCTTACTTAGCTCCAGCAGCTTGCTACCCAAGACACGGTCCAACAGCGGAAACGGCAATGAATCATTCAGGGACTCAAACGCCTTTGGCTTTACGCACTCTTCTATCCATTTAAAAACAGGCTCTTCATCCCCTTTAGCCAGTTTACAGATCAGGTTAAACACCGAGTTTCTAAACGCCCTCGCATCTGATGCCGATTTAGGAAGGTTAGGGATCTTCAGATGATCGTACTGTTTGATCCGCATGATTTTCTTTTCATACTTATATGGATCTACAACACGACTCCGATTGCTTGAGGGTGATGCCCCAGAGGCGTTCGACCCCCTTGGCGGAGTGGGTGGACCACTTCCACCACCCTGCTCCCCTTACTGCTAGACGACGAAGATGACGAACCAGGTGGTGATTTGGGAGGGGTGGCTATGTCATACTCCTGTGAAGCATTGGGTGACCCTTTATTGGAACCATTCCCTTTTGGCTTTTTACCGCCCCCTTGATTGGATGCAAAACTGTGAACAACTGATGCTAACATTCTAACCTCTGCAACCAACCCTTTGAGTTGGGCATCCTTTGGACTTTCCCCACGTTGCGAAGGCGAAGCAAACAACTGAGCTGTGTTTTTTTTTGTTGTCTGGGTCCGTCTACTCCTGTGCTGCCTACGCCACTGTCTACGCAATGCCTACGCGGCCACAGTGGGAGCCTACGCGGCTCATCCCTTTGAAGGTGTGCCTACGCAGGCCCAACGCCCGTGTAAAGCGACTCCACAATGTAGGTTTTTGCCTACGCCGTCACACTTCTGTTTGCTTTTGGAAGGTTGGAAACGGAACTTTTGCCTACGCGACCACAGTCCCATCAACATTTTTGTTAAGTGCGGCATGCCTTGCAGCACCCTGCAGGGGCACCAGTCAGCAGGCTCCAGCACCCAGGTTCCAAAGCGCACAGGAAGCATCCGGCGGATGGATCATACAAGACTTAGTACCTTTTGACGATGCGGAAGAGAAGACGAGCGACGTGTTCGACGGTCACTAGCTTGGGGTTGCAATACGTCGAATGATGGTTTTGGCGAGGTAGGGATGTTTTTTTGTGCACATTTGGGTGTAGATAGTGTTCCAGACAGCACCTAGTTGCCACTGTTAGGTCTTACCCCAGCCAAGCCAATCACAAGCCCACCAAGCCAGTCACGAGTCTTTTTCTATTCAGATGCTGATTCGTCACTGTCGGACGATGAATTGAAGGAGCTTGAAGAACTGCTTTCTACTACTCGGAGGGCTTCAGTTTGTCGTCTCTTCTTGGCCGCTGCTTTTTCCAGTCTGAGAGCAGCGGAAGAAAGAGCTCTTTCAAGTTCAGATTGTGGAAGTCTGGCTGGTGCAGGCCATGCGCTTTTCTGAGATGTATAGCGACGAACCACTTCATTCACATCACCAGGCTTCGGACCCTCCTTCTCCCAACTCTTTTCCCCTTGGTAAAAGCCTCGTCTCCAGCGTTTGGCTGTCTCTTGGGGGGCTGGTTGGCCAGAATCGTCCTCGACAACTTCCATGTCTCCATCTGCAAGTTCACCAGTTCTCTCTTCAATGCTCCAGCCACGAAGGTCCTGCCCAACGCAATTGCTGAACACCTTGTTGACAATGCGCAGGCCAGGAGCATAGCCCCGAGCTCGGGTGGAAGTGAGGCAATATGTTCGCGTAATAAGGAAACCAGAGCAATAAAAGAAGGTGCGTTTGTCAGGCCTGAGCTCACCAGGGTCGAAGCTTTCAATGTGGAACTTCGGCCCATTGGGATCCACGTTCACCATGTGCTGGGCACCTTTCCGGTAGCAAAGAACCAGATCACCGATACCATGGATTGGTGCTTCCTGGAGAAAGTCATCGATCCAGGCACAGCCCCATCCAAACAAGCGATCGACAGGCCCTTTGCCATGTTGCTCCCCTTGAAAATGTACTGCAACGTCTACATTGTAAAGCTGAGGGAGATCACGCAAAAAGAAAGCATAAGATTCCCGAGAACGGAAGTGAGGGCCACAATCTGAAACCAAATGCAAAGTTTGCACTGCGTCCCATTTGTAGGCTGGGCGGCTTGAAACAATCTCCAATATTCTGGAAAGCAACATGCGAGCCATTTGCGAATCGTGATCCAACACTTCGCTGACAAGCAAAAAATGAAAATTCTTACGCCCAGGAGTTGACACGACGCAGCCAAATACGGTGAGACTAAGCTTGTTCTGGGCATGCCACTCGTCTCCGGCCTCTTCCTTGCTCATAGGATAGCGTACATTCTCTTTAAAATCAAAATGAAAGTATGCTTCTGTGGGACCGAGTTGCTCGAACAAGCTCTTTCCAAAGTCTCCCTGCCGCTCTGCGCTCAGTTTATGCCAGCTGTACGCCTCAAGCAACTCACAATGTCCTTTCAGTTTGTGCAAAGTCTTTGCTTCGCACTCAAACAAAGCGAGCCGCTGCGCCCTCGTCAAACCTTGTCTAACCTCGTCTCTCTGTGCATTATTGTTGCGGGCAAGCACAAATTTCCGGCCACGTAAAACCTCTTCATGGTCCTGTGCAGATGCACGGGCTTGGGCGATGTGAGGATCTGCATCAAAAAGTTGGAAGTAGTCTGGCAATATTGCTTGAAGTTGGGATTTCCTCTTGGCAAACTCAGCTCGTGCTTTCGGCACAAGTTTCTTGCGGAATGTTTTGCCGTGGGAACAAACATCTGTTCGTCGAGCTGGTTTGCGAATGGATGGCATGGTGTTGCGAACAATGCGCTTCAGGGCAGTGTAGCCGACCAACTTCCTTAAGTCCACCTCCTCCTTCCAGATTCTCCACAAGCGCTTTCTCAGAACCTTTGCGCAAACAAGTTGTTTCTTCCCAGCTTCGCGAACAACAACAACTTTCGAGGAATCAGCAACATATTTCTGGAGGACCTCTTGCACAGAAGCGATGATCTGGGTGTCCAACACCTTGCTACGTCTGCCAACACGAGATGTGCAAGCGTCCTCCTGTGCAGACTGAAGTCTCTTGAAAGTGGTACGCCCAATGTTGTAGCCACATGTTTGCAAATCTTCTCTGGTGAAACCACTTTGCACGACCGCAAGGTCTATGTCTGCAGCTGAGAATCTCTGCTGGTGCTCCTGGCTATGATGAGTAACTTGTGTCTTCCGAAGCGCGGCTAAGTGTTGCAGCAATTCCTTCGCAGCTGGCGAGATGGCCTCATCCTGGGTCTCGGCGATGGCCCGGCGCAAATTTGGGAGCAAATCCAAGTTGGTCTTGGCTTCCATGCTTTTCAAAGCCCGCGAAAGATAATCAACCGCTTCCTCCACTGTGCTAGTTTTGCCAAGAACTTCATCTGCCAGCTTGCCTGCAAGCTTAGCCCTGTATTGGCGTGTAAAATCAGGCCAGGTTTTCACTGTCTCTTTGGACATGGTGGCACTTCTTGTTAAAAGGGAGCTAGCTACCTTTGAACCAAACTCTGCCAGCAAAACCAAGCTGATGAGTGCTGAGCAAATGTGGATCTCGAATATGGGCGAATGTGGGCTAGTGGTCAGTCCGGGCACCCAAGCCTACGCGGTGCCTACGCGAAGTCTACGCGAAGCCTACGCCTGTCCCAGGGCTCCCCTGGCAGGAATCCGGCGAAACATTCGGCTTAAGCAAGCGCCGGTCCGCACAGCTGGCTCTTATTTAGCAGCAAGCAGGCTGAAAGCGAAGAACATCAAGACTCGAGTTGGCCGGGCGGCTACGGGTGTCAACTGCTCCGCTACCCTTTTAACAAGCTGCTCTGCCGGGCAAGTTCCGCAGCTTGCTCGTGGATCTCCTCCACTGCTGCCCTTGTATAGTTGCCCTGCCGGGCAGGTTCCACAGCTTTCGCGTGCATCTCCTCCCCTGCTTCCCTTGTATAGCTGCTCTGCCGGGCAGGTTCCGCAGCTTGCTCGTGGATCTCCTCCACTGCTGCCCTTGTATAGTTGCCCTGCCGGGCAGGTTCCACAGCTTTCGCGTGCAGCTCCTCCCCTGCTTCCCTTGTATAGCTGCTCTGCCGGGCAGGTTCCGCAGCTTGCTCATGGATCTCCTCCACTGCTTCCCTTGTATAGTTGCCCTGCAGGGCAGTTTCCACAGCTTTCTCGTGGATCTCCTCCCCTGCTTCCCTTGTATACCTGCTCTGCCGAACAGGTTCCACAGCTTTCTCGTGGATCTCCTCCACTGCTGCCCTTGTATAGCTGCCCTGCCGGGCAGGTTCCACAGCTTTCTCGTGCAGATGTACTTGAGCCGGTGCGTAACTTGGAAGATTCTCACCCTAGGTTCCTGCGCGCAAGCTAGTCAATTCAACGTCAGGAAGCTGGACAAGTAAACGTGGGGATTCCGGAAAAACTGGCTCATGCAATCTTTTGTCTGCCAAACAAGTTCTGAAAATATCCTTGCTATAGTCTTTGGGGTAAACGAATTGATTACCTGCAAGCCTGGAGATGAAGAAGTTTGCTCCGATGTTCCGACAAGCCGATGCTGCATTTTCTCCTTTTGTTTTCTCTTATCAGCTAAGCATGTGTCAGCACATGCGGCAAACCCTTACCCGAATCCAAGTCAGCAAGGCATGTGTTAGCACATGCTGCAACGATTCCCCGTAGCTAAAAAGAGACTGGTGCCTTGCAGCAATCCGTCAATCAAGGCCCAAATGCTGCAAAATTTTCTGCAACATGGCTTCGATCCTCTTCATCCGCTTTCCACCGGGAACTGCATCTCCTGCTTCTTCATGTGCCTCCTCCTGAGCCTCCAAAGAACTTTCCTTGACTTGCTGGAGCAAAGAAGCATCTTCCTTCAGCTTGCTTACACTTTGGTGGCCACAAGTCTTGCGAAGAATTTGGAGACATGTGGGGCAGGCACAGCCTCTTTGAGTGGCAGTGCGTTTCACACCACAAATTTCGCAAGCGTCACGTTTTCGATTGTAAGGGCTCACTTTTTCAGGTGTCTCAGCTTGATCTGCCTCGTCAAAGGTGTTGGCCTTCTTCTCTGTTGCAGTCGTCTTTGCCTTCTTGCAGCTGTCTTCCGGTTTCTCACGGCTCACTTGAAGCAAGGTCCGCTTGTTTTTTTTCTGATCAGTCTTTCCTGAGTCTTCTGGAGTTTTTGGAGGTGAAGCCGGCACAATTTGATGCCTTGGAGGTGGTGGAGCTTCTGGGCAAACAATTTCGCCATCATCTTGTTTGGAAGCTCCTTGGCGGGTGAACGAATCTCTGCATCATCCTTGCCAGCTTTCGTGTCTGCCAGCACAGGCGTCTGCTGGGCGGATTCCGAACGCTTGGCCTTGGATTGGAAGCCAGGAGGTGCCATAAAAAACATAAGTGAAGTGGCCCAAACAAAGTTCATAGAATAGTTCAGCATTCAAACAGCCAGGGGGTTCACTCAAACATAACACATCTCTCTGAATAATGACTGGGTGTCAGCCAGTCTTTTGGGAAGAAACTCCGTCGGGACTGGTTTGGCGATCTGGTCTCCATAGGATTCCGCTTGGCTACCCGTATAGAATTTCTTTCCATCAGGCGCTGTCCACACACCTGGGCCCCCAACGATTCCCACACATGGTGGTAAAACAGGCTGGGCAGAAAATACCCAATCACCCAAGCAAACAAACTAGAAAACCGTATCCAACACCAAATAAGGTGCTATACAGCTCACCCACGCGCTGACCAGAGCTCCGCGGCTTCTGCTCAAAAAACCATGACATGGTGCGGAAGGATGACGTCAGGAATGCAGCCAAACTACTGCCATCTATATTATATGGAATGGACGTGTGCTAGTGATTTCTTATGTATGTAGATGCCCAATGCGGCTGTGATGAAAAATCTCTTTCTGTTGAACTGGTTCTTGACAAAAAAACACATCCTCTATTCAGTATATGTTTCTGCTGAATCCCAGTTCTAGACCACTATCCATGAATGAACCTACCTTTTGGATCCTTTTGGGCCATTGCTTCTGGATAAAACTGAATAAGTATAATATCCATGAGATTCCAACGCCGATCATGTACGAGCATTTGAAATACAATGAAATGTTGCCTACGCAAACCAGAAGATATTTGGAACCTTGAAAAATGCCTACGCCAATCCTACGCAATCCTTACGCCAGCCAGGTAAAACCACACCAGAAGCAACATCCAGTTTACACTCTATATAAACCCTTTTATACTTAAAAAAAACGTAGCTCAACTGAACTTGTTGGTCTTGCACCGGGCTTGCAACACTCCCTGAACCAGAACTGTGACCCGTCTGTGCAAGCGCATCTCGGAGTCCCGACTTAGTCTTGACTGTCCGATTCCTGAAGCGACTGGCAATTGCAATGGCACGAGACCATCCGTACCAACAGCGGCTCTAGATGTTGGGCTCATAGCCAAGTTACTTTGCAACTTGCTTAACAACGACTGCTGCTCATCAACGCTTTGAGTCAACGCATTGATCATTTTTATTTGTTCAACCGATTTCATGGACAACTCCCCATTGATACGGACCAGTTCAGTGATTTTACCTTCCAAACTTGACACCACGGACTGAGCTTCGAGTTTTATCCTTTGGACCTCGACTCTAGCTTGGGACTTAGCACTCTCAATCTCTTTTGAAGCATCTTGGACAATCTGGGTTGTACCCGCCTTGGTATCCTCCAATTCTTTCTGAAGTTGACGGACTGAGCTTGGGATTCCGAAATTGCCCTTTGGGCCTGAGACTGAAAATGTTCTAAGTACTGCATAGCCTCTGTCCTTGTACCTGGGAAACCCTTTGGGACTCTTCCACGGCTTGGATGGCTTGGGATTTGAAACTACTCCTAGCTTCCTCCACAGCATGTGCGGCTTGTGCAACTACAAAAGGATCCATTGAAACATTCAACTCATTTTTGACGAACGTTGGACCCTGGGATTGACCCTGGCTGGATGCGGCTCCCTGCTGACCCGACCTGGTGGATTCATACTGGCCATGAAATGGATTCGAATGAACATGATCTTGTGCTTCTAGCTGAACAGCATTCACATTTGGTGCAATCAACGGTGAAGATTGAGGACATCCCAAAAACTAAGACAAAGTTTCTGGGCTTTTATGAGGATCACCCTGGAAGTTTCCCCCACGGCATGAACAGCAATCCGATTTTCTGGAATGGCTATCCTTTGATCCCTACTCCCCCTTGGCTCCGGAGTTGACTGCGATGTTGAACTTGAGGCTGTCATCGATTGGGATGGCGTGACAGGATTGGCAATTGATTGTGCCGCACCCACTTCTAAACCCCTTTGAGACCTAGAACGTTCTGAACTTCCTTCTTGTGAGCTCTGCATTGTGATTTTGGGTTGGTTTGAGAACACCTACACTCTTCCCTCCAAAGACCTTTGATCCCGGAAAGGAGCACAAGTGTGTCAACACTCTTACCACCAAGAATCCTTGACCCTGGAATGGAACACAAAGACAATTCCTACACTCTTGAATGCCGGTTGCCTGAATGCTGGTTGCCTGAATGCTCTTACCACCAAGTATTTTAGGCCCCTGGAATGGAGCGCAAACGCTTCTCACCCCTTTTCACTTACCGGTGCCTGTAACGCCAGAGCAATCGTTCCAGAGGAGCCGCACAATCCAACAAATAGTGTTGCACGGTCTCAGCTGCTGGGCACTTTGGCTTGCGTCTGATATGTATATGGCACGTGTGGACTTCTTCAGAGTTCTCAGCAATCACTTCGTGATTATCATCAACCAAAGCGGAAGGAATTTGATAGTTGAGGGTATAGCTCCAAATTGTAGCTGCCTTCCCAGCGATTCCACAGCGTTCCCTGGTCACGAAAATCGATGTGATAAGTCCTTCGTCCGCAATCTGTCTGTATTGATTGTAAATTCGAAGTAGGTTGTCCAGATTTTTGCTTGAATGTTCTATATGAGAAACAATCACGATTGACAAAGCGTCTCGATGACCCCACGTCTGCTCAGCCGGATAGACAGGTAGACAGCCAGACAGATAGACAGATGAAAGAGAGAGAGAGAGAGATAGATAGATAGATAGATAGAGAGGTAAGTACCGTGGATGAAAGAGAGAGAGAGAGAGATAGATAGATCGATAGATAGATAGATACATAGACGATAGATAGGTAAGTAGGTATATAGTCAGAGAAAGAGAGAGAAAGAGAGGAGACCTCAAGCACCTTTCGGTCCATCAGTGGATTCGCTCTGCCATCCCTGTTTCACAACAACCAATCTCTCCTATAGGTTTCCTATTTTTGAAACTTCCGCCACCGCCTTGTGCGGTACTACTGGTAGCCACGATATGCACTGTAGTTTGAAACCTCCTTGAAGTTCACTCCCACAGGATCCGGGCCAGAGCCAATGTCTTCAGCCTTGTTGCCGCGATCAAACCAAACCACCGTGTCCGGAAGATAAAGTCGAGGCCTCAAGATTCTCTCGATTGCCTTCGCAGCTGGCTTCGCACGAGCTCCTAGCTGATTTGTTACACTAGATTTTGCCTCTGGCACAACAGATGACGATGATGAGCCTGTTGGGTAATCGACTGGTCCTGATGCTTTCGAAGTTAGTCGAGCTTTTGCAGCTGGCCTCGCCAAGATCTGAACCGGTTCCGATGCTTTCGGAGTTGGGCGAGCTTTTGCAGCTGGCCTTTCCAAGATCTGAACCTCCTCCTCCTCTGATGTTTCGATTTCCCAAACAGTTGCCCCTTGCAACACCGAGTTACTGACCTGAAATTTCCACTGCTTTGCGCATTCAAGTCCGTCCCGAGTTACAAAGGATATTTCCCTTGATAGTACCCGTGAGCGATCCCCTCGTTGATGTGCGGAACCTTTGTCGCAAGACCTCTTCGTCCACCCCTTGGCGCCCTGATCTCCACAAGACGTCCAGGATCTGTGACTTGCGATTAGGTTCTAGAGTTTCGTCAAGGTACTCCTGGTCGATGACACCACTAGATGTAGCTATTGCGGCAGCCCTACGGCTGATAACCAAAAGATTCTCAAAGAATCAGATGGCTCAACCACGTCAACCCTTTTGCGTCGGGCAACAATAGTCTTGAGCCAAACAATCCGTCAGGAAACAATTTTGTTGCCCCGACCTGATGGATGTTGGCGGATGGACTACTGTAATTAGTGAAAACAAGTAGACTTGTATTAATGTCAGTACGGGCAAACTGGATCACTGGATTCCAGGGTCAATGTACTTTTAACATGACCTCATGCATGAATTCCAGTCTACATGGAATGCTATTGGAAGCACTACACTGCGCTACGTGAGGAGGCATACTCTACTCGTAATCTTTCTTCTATATAACTCTACTTATTTATATATATATACAAACATATATATATATGTTACCATCAGTTATATAACTGAGCTATGACATGATCAAGGTTATAATTCACCTACTACCTGGGATGCACTGCGTAGAATTGAATTGACTCCATCCCAGGCACAGCTGACGCCGGCGGAAAGGTGGCGCGGCACAAGGCACCCGAAGAATAGGCCCAGCCGTTCCTGGTCCCATGGGGAGAGAACCAACATGGGGACGGATGAGATAGAGGTACAAATGTGTGTGTGTATATATATATAATGTGTATATATATATATATAATGTGTATATATATATATATACATAATCGAAGGAAGTTTAGAAGTCAAACTTCCGACAATATGGACAGATGAAAAGCAGAGCAGGGAAGAGGCAGAGAGAAGAGAAAGATTAGAAGAAAGAAGAGTAAGAAGAAAGAAGATGCAGATGCGTGAAAAGGTAGGGACACCGTGTTTTTCCAATGGTTTGGGGCTCCGGAGGGTCGAAAAGTAGGCTCGCTAAAGCGGCGGGTGCGGAGCCAGCTGGCTAGATGAGAGATGCAAAATTGCACGCCGTTGTGGCGCGAAGCACATTTCCAAGTCAAAATGTACAAAACACACCAGGTTCGGACCACTTTTGGCAGTTCAGATGAAAAGTGCACGCCGTTGTGGCGCGAAGCACATTTCCAAGTCAAAATGTACAAACACCCCATTCTCGGACCACTTTTGGAAGTTGAGATGTCGAAAAAGTGCACGCCGTTGTGGCGCGAAGCACATTTCCAAGTCAAAATGTACAAAACACCCCATTCTCGGACCACTTTTGGAAGTTGAGATGTCGAAAAAGTGCACGCCGTTGTGGCGCGAAGCACATTTCGAAGTCAAAATGTTTAAAAACACCAGGGGTTCAGACCACTTTTGGAAGTTCAGATGTCGAAAAAGTGCACGCCACTGTGGCGTAAGCACATTTTGAAGTCAAAATGTACAAAACACCTCAGTGTCGGACCACTT